TGGGATCCTCTGGAGCACCCGTCCTTGGGGGGTCCTTTGGTTATGGCAACCTGGGCTATGGGGGTCTGTCTGGCTACGGGGGCTCCTCCTTTGGCTATGGAGGTCTGAATGGATATGGGGGTTCCTCCTTTGGCTATGGAGGTCTGAATGGATATGGAGGCTCCTCCTTTGGCTATGGAGGTCTGAATGGATATGGGGGCTCCTCCCTGGGCTATGGGGGCTCTTCCTTGGGTTACAGGGGTCTGTATGGCTATGGTAGATCTTACAGTTCTGGCTCTTGCAGCCCTTACTCCTACCGGTATAGCAGGTACAGACGTGGCAGCTGTGGAACCTTCTAAATCCTACAGAAATATCCCAAATGAGGAATAACCAACAAATGAGATGTGATGGTTTCACAGCTAAAGAGTTCTGACCCTCCCCTGCTCTGTTCCAAGACCAGAGATCTGTACCCCTTCAGCCTCTTTTGAACTTCTCCTCTTCACTTCTACTTTGAGTTTCTGCCTTCAACGCTTCTCCTGTCACATTTCCATATTGCCTGGGGTAAACATGGAACAAAGTTGCTCAAAATGGTTCCTGTTTGTTCAGATCAACAGCAAAGACTCGGGAAGAAAAAAAAGAATGAATCATATGTGAATGTACCTCTGACTGGAGAACAGTTTCATACTTCTTGGAGATTCTGAAAGTGTATTCCTTTTTCTCACCATCATTAAAAGTTTATCGCATCAAAGTTGCCATGTTCTAGTGTTCTTTTCTCAGGTTTTTACCCCCCCCTTTTTTTTTTTAACTTTTTACCCTTTTAGGAGAAGTCTAACCTATGCAGTTGGCAGTAACAATCTAAATTAAGTAGATGACTGTCCTGCCCAAAAAATCAGGGATTTCAAATGTACAAAAGCAGGGTGAAGCCCACAGCACAGAAGGAACTACTGCCTTCCCCTCCCCATTTTTCAGATAAATATTCTTGATATTTTTGAAGCCTTTGACTTCGTGCTTCTACATCTGGCTACAGATTAGTAGCAGTAGAGAAATGAAACAATAAATTACTAATTTTAAGCTCTTTCCTAAAAAAAACCCAGATTTTAATAAGAATTTCTTCCAGGTAAGTCTTTGTTTCATCTCTTTGAACTTCAGGTTCTTACTCCAATATTTAAACTCTGTCCTCAGTAATAGTCTCTGCAGAAAGTTGAATTTATTTTTTGGCTAATCCTTAGAAAAAGAAAGTTTTCTGGCCCTTAAAATGACACTTTTAAATCTGAGGTGCAGATCTTTCTGTATAATAATAAAATCTAAGGTGTTGGTTGGGGTTTTTTTGATGGAAAAACAACTACTACGTACACCTAATTCATCTATGGGGCTAATTCAAGGGCGAATTCATCTATGCCAG